CTGTGCCGCCAACAAGCTGCAGCTCCGAAGCCTGAAATACTGCCTGTGTTCGCTGCCTCCTCCATATGGAGCACGCTATATTTGCTTGTGGTGAGGTTTAGTTACCGGCTCCGTTCTCCAGCAAAATGAGGTGGTGCTTCATGTCGTTAGATAACTGTCTGAGGTAGGAGGACGATGGACGTGCTTCGATGAGCCTGGATTTTCACTTTCTGCCTGACACTGCATGTGAAAACATCTTCAGTTTTTCCAAAATACCCTCGGTGTCTTTTGCTGTGTCTGCCCAGGATGCCTTTCTAGAGCATCATGTAGGAATCCGGCCACATGAGCAGGAGCAACGCGAGGGTTGTTGTAGTTGAACTTTGCTCTTGGGTGGTCTGGATGTGAACTGTATGACCCGAGAGCATTGCCAGGTGGATATGGATATAATCGTCACTAAATTTTTCGTAACAGATCCTTTTGCTTCCTTATAGGATTGTGTTGTACCTTTGTAATAGATCCGTGACGGGTTTACTTTGTTAGCACCCAAAGCCTTTCCAGAGAAAGGACCCTTCGTGGGTGGTTTTCCATAAAGCCACATTGTTCTTCTAGAATGACGTGGGCTTAATGCAACCTAAAAAGTCTTTTTTTCACAGCCTAAGTAGAGACAGAGGTTTTTTATAGCTGTGGTAACCCGTTTAATCTTGCTTCTTACACAGAATAATGCTAATAAAAGAAAGATCAGCCTTTCTTAGTCCCAGCCATACTTTCAAATGACAGACCTTGGAAATTTATTCAAATATAAATGGCAACATATGGTTTTATGTGGTGGGATTTGATTTCAGCATTCGTCTTGGATTTTGGCCAATCTTCAGGCTGTAGGCTTCATCTACAGTTTCACTCTCTTTAATCTTCCAGGATAAATTATATCATTTCATGAAAGTCAGCTTGCTGTCTCTTGAAACGCACATGTTCCCAGCACTGACTCATCTGATGATAGCGTGAAATATCTGCGAGCAGCCACCGAAAGCCGCAGGTTGTTGTTGCTTTTCCTCTTGCTATCAGCTGCTGTATCCCAGCCAGCCAGGGCTGCTTGTGTCCCGGGATCGGCAATTCTCTGCCGGGGCTGTATCACTTTGGGTTGTTCCTTATTTAATTAGTCAGCCATAAATGGCTTGTAGTTGTTTATGTCAGCTTTTCTCATCCATGTGGAACGGTTTACGTTAGATTTCCCAGAAATCAGTCCTTCTGGTTTTTGTTGTTGAGTGATCGTATGCACCATTGTTATGTTTGTTTCCACAATACATGATTTTGTTTAAACTGGCTCCGTTTTTTCTGAAGTGGGTACAAGAGAGATGCAATTGTTTAGAGCTCAAAGTTGAGAAGAACCTACTTTTTTTCTTTCGTTATGTTGACTCTTAACTGTTTTGTGGGGAGCGCTGGAAGAATTTGCAGTTGGTTGAACTGATACACCATCCCATTTACTGTAGTAGGAAAAAAATGGCTTGGGATAATAATGTAGGGATGAGTGCATCCTGTGGTGCAAGTCAAGGAGAGGGTTCCTTGGGTTTGCTTTGAGCGGGAGCTGGATCAGGCCCAGCGTATGCCTCCAAAATCAAATTATATTGGCGGGCAGCTGCTGCCTTTGATCCTTACAGTGGCAGTAGGTTCCTGAAACTTGGCCAGATTCTGGTTTTCTCTTTGGCTCTTCGTGACGGAGGCTGGCCTCTTCACAGCGTTTTCGTCTCTTTTCCTCCTGAAGGGCGTGTTGCTCCTGCCTGGAAGCGTGTGCGTCCCGGGAGGGCCGTACGCCACAGCAGAGCTGTATGCCTGCAGGCTGCACCCTGCCAGGAGTGCTTTTGGTGGGCCCTTGGTAAGAGAGGGCCCGGTAGGGAGTTCGTGGTGAGTGCCCGGAATAGGTCACATTGCTGCATGTTCAATGAACTTGAGCTCCTTCACGACGAAACGATTCCTGGTCCTGGATGTGGAGAGCGGGGGAGCCAGACGGGATGCCGGCAAGTGCAGGTGTTGTCATCTGGTGCGGAGATGCTCTGGTCCCCGCCGGAGTGCGCTCATCCCACCTCTCCCTTTTAAATGCGTGCTTGTGAAACCAGGTCAGTCATGCCAAAATGCTCACAGTGATCTCCCTGTTTTCCCAAGGGTGCTCCTGGCCATTTTGGATTTGAGTTTGGCCATTTGGTGGCTTTGCAGAGCCTAAGGCCCTTCACCAGTGACGCCATCTCTCGAGCCACCCACTGCAAAGCAAACGCGCTGGGAGGCTGGGGCAGGGGCTCGCTCACTTGGAGCGAGCGCCTTGGAGCTGCTCTAACCGTCAGCGATGTGTATGCGGTGTTTGGGCTTTGATCTCCCAGCAAGGCGATTCCTGATGCTGTAGGAAGGCTTTATGAGGATTATTCCTGAAGAAAAGCCCGAGATTAGACTGAAGATTTACAGCCTGAAGCTGAATGGCAGTGGCTTTCCAAACTCACCCGTCCTTTCCATGTCCCAGGGACCCCATCTCTGCTAAGCAGAGACAGGTCGTGCCCCTCGCACAATTGCAGGCCAGGTAACACCAAGGAGACTTGCTCCATCCAAGAGCGGGTCTGTCTCGGCTCTGTTTTACTCTGTCTTAGACCTTAATGTGTGTTTTATGGGCCTAGTGGAGCAACCCATGTAAAAGTGTTTAATGCTTCAAAACCACTTTCATGGCATACGCTGTAGAGAGAGCCATGTCCTTTGGGTTTAAGATCTTGATAGTTTGCTTGACCAACAAGTGTAATATGTCTTTCATTGAGGGTGCATGCTTTGTTGTTTAAGCGTGTTTATTCTACCTTGTGAGTCTTTAAGGTTCAGCTGTAAACATCTAAATGCAACTTTAGTAAGTGTCTGTGCACGACTTCAGTGCCCTGCCTACCAGAGGCTGTGCGAGTGGGGGCTGCTGAGCCTGCACGGAGCCCATTACTTGCAACTTTTGGGATTGTGGCCATGAATATTGATGGTAATGTTATCAAATAGTTCATGGTAACCAGTATCCCTGTCCTCTCGCAGAGATCCAGTGGCAGAATTCCCACTGACGTCAGGTACTGACCACAAATGTCTGAATAATAACCCAGTTGTGGCTATTTTGCTTGGGAATGACAGATGTATCATGTACACCACAAGTATGTTTTATTCGGTCATAACAGACAGCAGAAAGCGTGGCAAGAGGTCACCCAGCAGGCCACTACTTGCAGTGCTTTGCAGATCTCATGATCAGCTCAGTTTAGGTCCCACTAAACTCTGTGTGACTTCAGTGAGGTCTGCTCGGTGCCTTAATCTTTGTGCAGGTACATGCTGTAAGATAGGCACAGTTAGAAAGAGGAAGCTGATAGGGGAATAGTGATAATAATGCGTACCGTGTAAAGAATTTGCTCTTTGGGATTATCTAGAAACCCGATGCGGGGATTTGGTCTCCTTGTGGGAGACGCAAACGTAGAAATACATACAAAGAACCGGTCCCTGCCCCAGGGAGGTTAGTTTCTAAAGAAGAAGTAGCCAGTGCTCCCACCAATCCTTAATTACTGTTCGTTGGCTAATTTCACATACCTGCTGTGCCATGAGCTGGCTCTTAAGGGAAACAGCAGCTGATGTCTCAGGGGTGTGTGCCGCTCAGAAGCTGGCGGACCCTAACCGGACGGCCCGGGTTGGAGGTCCCACTGCTGTCCCCGCTGCTCCTGATCAGTAGCACCCCAGCGCTCCTGGGACGTCTGGGTAAAATCTGGTTAAGGAAGGAAGGAGCCTCTTGGGCTCACCAAGGATTTTGTTGCTCAAACCTCAGATGGGAGGTTTCAGTCCTCCAGATGACCTTTTCAAGACCTTTCCCAGCAAAATAGTTTCTTTCAGAGCTTCTCCTGTGCCTCTGCAAACAGCCAGCATCTGAGGAGGGTGAAGGTGGGAACAGCATTTAACACTGTGGACAGATGTGCCTATTCAGGCGCTCACCGGTTTTGTTCAGAAGCCAGTGCTCTACCTGCATTCACTCCTCAGTTTGACGCCAAAATCCAGCAAGCGAGAAGTCAACTCACAGTGCAGGGGATGAGGAAACTCCCAGTGGATTTGGGAACGTGTGGGACCCTCCGCACTGCCCCTGTCACCTCTCATCTGACCGTGCTGGGATGGTAGGGCTTGCTGGGATGTCTGGGCTTGGGGCAGCTGCCATGCACTGGCTCCTACCCCTACGGCTTAGGTGTTCGGTCTAGTCCGTTCATGCGGGGATAGAAAAAATACCCCAAACGACGCACCGCAGAGGGAGGAGTTGCAGTTGCTAAGTAGGGAGGACAGGGAAATGGGTTCACCTCCCGGTGCTCACCTCTGCTTCCTTTTGCTGTCCAACTTATTTAATATTTTGTGATTTTGGTGTGGATTACTCTAGATCATTTGTGTGCTGGGAAAAGTAGGACTGAGCCAGACAAGCTACTGGGAAGTAATAAGATTTAAACAATATCCTGAGACCTGCTTTATCTTTGGTCTTATTTCTCCTTCAAGTTGCTTGTGTTTCCTGCCAACACCCCTGTATTACGGCTCTGTAATTTTGACCAGCTGATAGTTATGCTGATGTATTTCACTCCTTGTTTAGCCGGTGATAATTTTCTTTTTTTCCTCCCTGTAATTTGGTCTTTGTCCTAATTACATTATATTACAGTGGAAAGCCAGTTCTGCACTGTGAAGGAGGCCGAGTCTTCCTGTGGCATAGCCTGGCACAACTCTGTTGCTTGCGTTCATACCATCAGTGGGTACGATTAAATTTTTAGGGTGAAAAGAGATACAAAGAGTTATGTTATAATTGTACCTGACCCCTTAGACTTGCAGCACAGGTGTTCACCTGTGATTCCTCCGCTGGATTTGTCATGAAGAAGAATGTGTTTAACAAGAGAGGAATCCTGGATGGCGAGGTTTTGAGCAAGCAGATGAGCTGCTTTTTAAATGTTTTTCGTACTCTCTCTTGCAAGCTGTAGTTTAACAAACACGTGGTGATTCTTTTGTAGGTGTGCGGAGAGAAACAGCGCTTTGAAAAGCTGATGGAGCACTTCCGAAATGAAGACAACAATATAGACTTTATGGTGAGTGCTATTTATCATCAAAAAACTTTGGTTTCAGTGTTTACTGCATCTGGTCCTGCTGTTGTAGGCAGAAGTTCATCTGCCTTCTGATCCTTGGCCTAAAATTACCACAATGGAATTTTTTTATATTCCCAACTACATAATATGCGTTTCATTTTTAGCTTCAGTTCAGTTATCTTCAAGAGATGCCTTGTACCATAGTGAAGGTAAGAGGAAAGTGGCCTTTTGGTCGTGTGTGCTATTTCGCTGCGGCAAAGCAGCAGCTTCTGCAATATCAAGATGCATATTCTGTCTGTGCCAACATCCTGAGTCACAGACAGGGAAGTGTGGGAGAGACTCGCTGCAGCTGCTGTCTGTCCTTATCTGCTGATAAATATAGCAGTAGTTTGCACCACTTTTGGTTCCTCATGTGCATATGCATGATTATTCACCAAAACCACTTCTCCTGGAGCACAAGAGAGAAGGGCGAGAGAGGAAGCTCTGGCTGGCACCCACGATCACCAGCCCCAGCCTGCACACTGGCAGCACGTGAAAGGCAGAGGTCGTGACAGTAAGGATGAGCTAGCTGGTTACGTGTCCATATCAAAAATACTTCTGCATCAAAAATACTTCTGCATCCATTTCTTTAAAGTCTATGGCAAGCGAGTGCTTGTGTCAGAAGTGTGAGAAATTAAAGCCCGATTTTTAACTACAAAACGAATGTAGTACTGGCGTGGTCAGTGCAGTCTCCCTTGCACTGCTCATGCCCGGTGTCTCAGATCTGATGTGATCCTGTTTTGAGGTGAGAGCAGAGCAGGAGGGCTTCCTGCTTGGTCATGCTGGCTGTTCTGCTGAGGCCTCTGTTAAGCATCTGTGACACTTTATACTGTTTTAGTGCTGAGCTTTGTGTTAAAGACCTCTTTCTGCCAGGAATTAGGTGTTAAAGCACCCAGTGCGGTGTTTCCAACACTCTGGTGTTAGTGGCTTGCAGCCCTGATGGCCGGGTCAGGCTTGCACCCATGAGGGGATGGCAGAATAAAAAAGGAGGTGGTGTGAGCAAGAGAGGATGGCCTCTTTGTTTTTTAAAAAAAAAAAAAAAAAAAGCTAGTGATCCCTGCAATTTTACTCAAGTTAGCAAGCTGCTCTCAGTAACTCTCTGACATGTTACAGTTGGTTTTGTTCCTCATTACTGCAGTCCTACTAAGGACATGTTGGTAGTCACAGTATACATTAAGTATTCTCAGATGTACATACAGTTTAGTCTGTAATTTAACAGAAAGATTTGTCAGTCCTCAACACCCAGCTCTTAGTCATTTTTCCCGTGCTCACGGGGAAGAGTAATCGTATTTGGGGAGCAGGAGAGTAGCACAGCTTAGTACAGCCTGGAAGCAAGATGGTGGCAGCAGCCTGCAGCCAGCCACCATGCTGTGAGCTACAGGATTTGTCCACTGTTGTAAAAAAAAAAAAAAAAAAAAATCATTCCTCATCTTTCTTTAAGATATGAAATGGTGTATTGTAATGATGTAATAGGGAATATGCATGTGAGTGTGTGTCCGTACAAGCCCAGTGAGCTGTGAATATTCAGCATCCGTCTGGATGGCCTTGTAAGAAAATTCCCTGGTCCTCTCAGGCCATAGGTTGAAGGTAGTGGTGAAATGTGCTTGAAAAAGGATAAATACATTTTTTTTTCAGGACTTGCCCAAGTACTAATAAAATCTGCATCTTTGGCCCGCTTCCACCGACTAAGGGCTTGACTATATGACAAGCCTAAAGCTTAGAAGAGAGAGCTCATGAGAAATGATTTGGCAGATCCGCTCGTTCTTGTCACCACTTGGCCCTGACGAGCTCCGCATGCTGCTGCGAGCACTAGCTGATGAGCATGCTTCAGGGGGCGAGCGGGGAGCGCCGCGGGCCCCTGCCCGCCGGCTCGCTGCGGTACCGGCGCTGTGGGAGCCTGCGGGTTGCGCCAGGGTGTGCCAAGGGCAGACATCGCTCCTTTCCCAAGGACGGTATAAAACGGGTGCCGGAGCTCAGGCTCCAGGACGTAATGTTAAAGCTCGAGTAATTCAAGGAGTTGCAATGACTGAACATAAACAAAGAACTATTCCTGCAGGATCTGGCTTTCACGTTGCCCTAAATGGAGAGCTGTCTGGGAAGCTGTAGCTGGAAGGGGCCGCAGTTAATTGCATGGATCGACAGGGAGGAAAGAGCAACAGAAAGGCAAAAGTATTTTAGAGAAGGTTCCTGTTGTTGACATTGACTTACTTCATTTTAAAAGCAACTTTCTTAGATTAGTTTTCTTTGACTTGATAAATTCCTTAGTTGTGTATGTAAGGATCTGAGAAAGGAAATGAGCATTTGGCCCTAACGTTGCGAGAGCCAAAGCAAGTATAACAAAAGCACTTTTGAAATAGAGGTATTTGGCTCTGGGTGAGTCGACAGGACAGCAGGGTTCAGCTGGTGAAGGCCAGTACCAGCACTAGGAGGAACCAGGCTTTGCCACGGGAACTGGAAAGGGTCCTGCAAAGACTCGAAACCTGAAGTTAGGTTTCCAACTGCCTGGATGGGGTTGTTTGTGTAAGAGATGGGTACACACCAAGAGGTGGGGCTGAGGCATCACAGAAGCTCCTGGATGAGTCTTTAGACCATCTGCCTTCCTCTCTTCCTTGGGGTTATCCCTGTTACCACTCTTACAACTTTGCATTATCTAGGGTTAAAGTAATTTTGGAAACAGAGTGGTTAAAGCCGGTCAGGGTCGACATTGGAAGATGTAGCTGAAAGGTTTTGACTTACCTTTGTTGTGTCCCTGTGGTCCCGGTTCCTCCAAAGCCGGGCAGCACCGGGCAGTTCAGCTGGGAAAGTTTTTATGGCAGGGGGGCGGGCGGGGGGGGGGCCGGGCGGGGGGGGGGGGCCCCCAGCCAGACCTGTAGTTGAAGGCCACCGTGCAGCAGATGCCTGCTCATGAGTTTATCCTCTGGGGCCCATAGCAGATCACAGACAATTGGCCAATTTCCTGTAGCAAACTGGTGACCCAGCGAGTGGCCTTCAGTTCTTTCTTCCCACAAAATGACCTAGAGACGTTGGGGTCTCCTGGAGGCTTGTCCTGCAGGTAAAATCAGGTTGCTTTGATTTTATCTTCTCTCAGATTCGTTCTAGAACTACTGAGATACTTCCCAGATATGCTGAGAAGCTTGGTATTACCCCTGCTGCAGTGTTGCTAGCAGGATAGGGTTATACCCTTGAGAAGCCCAGCAGGGACTAGGCAAACCCTCTCTTAAAGCAGCTCAGAGGGTGACAGACGTGATCATCTGTGAGCTGAAAGAGGGCTGGGGATACTTGTGCAGAGCAGGATTTGGCCGTGCCTTACATTCAAGTAAAGGACAAAAACCTTTTGGGGTTTGTAGCCCGATTCCTGCCTCTCTGCAGGAGGTTTCCCCCACTGCTCATACCGCTCGTGACCCGCTTCACTCGAGAGCCTTTTCCTTTCCTTCGCTGTGTTTGGGATGTGTTTGAGTGCCAGCTCCTATGATCTGGTCCCTTGTTCAGTTACCAAACCACAGCTTTGGAAATATGCTTTCTGCAAACAACAAAGCGCCTTTTGTGAAAGTCCCATTTCCTAAGCTAGGGGTTCCAGTTGCAAATTTAATCTCACTTTTACAGGCCATTTCAGAAACACCATTGTTTTCTTAAGAGCTTGTGTGCTTGTATGATGTCTGGCTGTGCGAGCTGGCATGGAAAGCATTTCTGTTCACCAGCACGCAGTAAAGGTAGACTCTGCAGACATGACTTAATTTCTGGAACCTGCTTTTGCCTTTGTCACAGCAGACAAACGCCCCGTAAGCCCAAATCCAGCACCGGCTTGGAAAAAACCTGCAGAAGAGCGGATCACAGTTTCCCCTCGTAGTAACCGCAAGGAAATGTGGTCATTTGCTGTGTCTGACCCGTGGGGCCCTGGGAGAGCCCGCTCCGACTGCGCCTGGGACTTTCGGGGGGCAGCCGGGGCCGCCCCGTCGCCTCCTCTCACGTGCAACGGTTCTCCTTGCAGGTGGCCTGCATGCAGTTCATCAACATCGTTGTCCACTCGGTGGAGGACATGAACTTCAGAGTCCACCTGCAGTATGAGTTTACGAAGCTCGGCCTGGACGAGTATTTGGATGTGAGTACGACCCGGGTCTCTGCGCCTCGCAGCGTGGGTCTGCTCTCCCGGTGGGGCTGACCTCTGCGTGGGGGTGCAGGCTGGGCCCACCTGCGGCCGTGGAGGGTCCATGCCATGTCCCCCAGCGCTGCCGCTGCCCAGCCTAGCCTTAAACCTCCGTCAACCCCCTCACCCGAGAGCTTTCGGGAGGGCAGAGCAGGGTTATCCCATAGTCTCTGCTAAAAATGCAATGCCTTGGCCGCTGACTGGGGCCTGTGGCCTGGAGCCACCCCTGCAGAAGAAAAATCCACTGCAACTAACTGCAATTACAGACTGGGAGCTAAATTTGTAGCTTCGCCTTATAACAAAGGGAGGATGAACCGCAGTCGTCCTCGCCCGTGCCACGTCCCTGACCTACAGCCGCGGGCTGCAGGCCTCGTGTCGGCCCCGGCTCAGGTGCCGCGAGGGCCCCCTCTGTCTCCGTGTGAAAAAACCCTCCTTTGAGTTTTCTTCTGCCAGCCAGGCGTTTTCTGGTGTCCTGTGGGAAACGCTCTCTTTCAGAAGAAAGCTGCTTTTATATTTTCCCTTTTGTATTTTTCTCTCTCTCCCTGTCCCTGCCCTTGGGAGCACACACATGAAAACAGTGCTTGTGCTGACGAGGGATTGGTTTGTCCCTGCTGACTTCTGCTCAGCAGTAACCAGGAGAGAGGTTTTTTGCTGTCTGCAAGAAGTATTTGTACATGGCGATACCGAGCATGGTCTGTTTGGGGTCCCAGGCTGGCACAAACACTGCAGTCCATCGGGAGCAGGCAGAGGTTCAAAGCGTGCTCTGATGTTGTCTTTGGAGATAAAGCATGCTCATTTTGAACACAGCAAACCTAGCACGAGGTCAGCGAGAGCAATCAGAGGATTTGTTCCAGGCCACATGGCTGCTTCGAACACAAACACAAGTGATGGCCTCACCTCTGCCTACCGGCCACCGAGTGGCTGGCCACCGTGGGCAGCAGCAGGGTCGGCCCCACCAGCTGCCTGCCCACCTCGCTGGCCTCGCACCATCCCAGGACCAGGGGGTGGATCCAGAGCTTGCCACAGTCAAGCAGCAAGCACGGAGGAAAGCAGTAGTATCCTCTGTAGTAACAGAAGATAAGATGCTGCTTAGCTTTATTTGAAAGCTCTGGATGTTTGGTCTCCAAAAATGGCTGTTTATCACTTATGACCCCAGCTAACGTTAAAATGCAAAGCGTTTTCTTGGGTGATGGAAGTGGCCTGAGCTCCCACCACTCTCCCACCCCGTTTGCCGTCTGCAGCGAAGGGCTGCCAGTGCTGAGTGACACCCTTGTCTTCTTGGATTTGCAGAAACTGAAACACACAGAAAGCGACAAGCTGCAGGTGCAAATTCAAGCTTACCTGGATAACGTTTTTGATGTGGGAGCTTTACTGGAGGATGCTGAAACCAAGAATGCAGCCTTGGAAAGAGTTGAAGAACTGGAAGAAAACATTTCCCATGTTAGTACCAAATTTTGTCACCTTTGTCTCTGAAGTAAAGCGCCTTAGGACTACTGTGATTCTGTATTGGGGAATAATCAGGTATTTGGCAAATGAAGGGGTTGGGGAGATCTCAGGCAGGTGAACTTCCTGGGTGCTTTCATGCTACATTTTGAACCTCATATTCTGCATGTTTCAGTTAACGGGTGCTCCACTTGCTACAAAGATTTGTTCATAAGCTGTTTATTGACCTGATGAGAAAATGTCTTACTCTGTCATTTTATTTACTCTCTTACCTGACACAACCCCCAGCTTCTTATAAAGGAGTAGCATTGCCTTGTTAACGTGGGGCTCGACACGCTGTTTCTGTGTACGTCAAGGGACTGTTTGGCCTGTGCTGCGCCGTGCCTGCCCGTCTAAGCGCTTACATGGCCACGGCTGCAGCGCTCGCACGCCTCCATAGCATCAGCCCGTTTATCCCCCGAAAGCCGCGGTGAGCTGGGAGGGGATGACTGCCCGTGCCGGGGGCCGAGCTGAGCGGAGGGTCGCACCTCCGAGGCCCTGGCGCGGCAGGTTTGCAGCTTGGGAGGCTTCAGCTTCGGTTCGGTTGCAGTTCCAGGTGGAGTCACTTGGTGCATGGAGCCTCTGCGAAGAGTTATCTTAGGAGCTGGGAAAGCTAATTTACATAGAAATTGCAAATTCCTCAGCAATGCAGTATCGGTAAATAGAGCAGATAACCATCCTGTCTGTGTCTTAAAACACATTACTGGGCTCAAGAGGTAAGGGACCGAAAAATAGCGCTGTGCAGATATTCATTGTTTGCTCACGGCTTTTCTGTCCCGTACCTTCTTGGTGTCAGGTACTTTAGTCCAGAAAACATGGCTTTGCTGTTTTAAATTTAAAATGTTTTCCATACTTTAAAAAAAGGGTCATTCTGTTACCATTCCTATATGGCTATCACTTAGAATAAATACGTTCTTAAAAAAACTTGCTCTGCAGCATTTGCCCCTCTGAGGTGCTCTTCTGCTAGAGAAAAGTGATTCAGTAGAAATGGCACCATTTGCTTCATAGATCTACTCCTTTTGGCTGTTTAGAAACTTAATGGTTTACTCTGGTGGCAAATTTTTAAGGGCTTGCTTCTGATCTCTTGTTGCATAGACTAGACTCATCCCAGGAGTATGGACATAATTTTCTGTCATATGTTGACAGAAATACTAATAATAGAGTTGCAGAAGTTTTATCTCAAAAACATGGCAACCGGTGCCACCTCACCACCTCTGCAGCCTCGCCTGAGTCAGCACGATTGGTGCTGCTGGAAAAGCCAGCAAGAACAGCGGGGCTTTCAGATCCCGGGTTTGTGGGGCTGGCAAAAAATAAAAATAAATCAAAAGACCGTGGGGGAAAAAAACACCCCTGTTTCATTCATTACTAATCAAATTAGCCTCACTGTGAGAGGTGGTATTTATAGGTTCCAACATTTCAGCATGTATTGGTTTTGCAAGAGTGCCACTGTGGTATTCTGTGGGGTTTTGGGGTTTCAGATCAGACTTAATGTGTTTGAAAATAATTGCATTTTAAGTGCTTTATTGTAGAGTAGGCTCTCTTACCTGGACAGGTTCAAAGCTACAGTCCAGCCTGGTTACCTGCTGGTCACAGCTGAGGGATAACATTCATCATCAGAGGAACCTTCCTCGGGGCACTTAGTGCCCCCCGATCGCATGCCGGAACCCTCTCTCTTTCCAAAGAAAGACTTCAGGGTTTGGTGGAATATCAATAATTTACTACGTACCACTGTTCCAACAAGCGTTCCTGACATTTTGCTTGAGAAAATCCACTTATGTAATCTATTTCTCTTTTGAATGATAGTTATCTGAAAAACTCCAAGATACGGAGAACGAAGCCATGGCAAAGATTGTGGAACTGGAAAAACAACTTATGCAAAGAAACAAAGAACTGGATGTATTTATAGGTTCCAACATTTCAGCATGTATTGGTTTTGCAAGAGTGCCACTGTGGTATTCTGTGGGGTTTTGGGGTTTCAGATCAGACTTAATGTGTTTGAAAATAATTGCATTTTAAGTGCTTCATTGCAGAGTAGGCTCTCTCACCTGGACAGGTTCAAAGCTACAGTCCAGCCTGGTTACCTGCTGGTCACAGCTGAGGGATAACATTCATCATCAGAGGAACCTTCCTCGGGGCACTTAGTGCCCCCCGATCGCATGCCGGAACCCTCTCTCTTTCCAAAGAAAGACTTCAGGGTTTGGTGGAATATCAATAATTTACTACGTACCACTGTTCCAACAAGCGTTCCTGACATTTTGCTTGAGAAAACTACTGTTATCCACTTACGTAATCTATTTCTCTTTTGAATGATAGTTATCTGAAAAACTCCAAGATACGGAGAACGAAGCCATGGCAAAGATTGTGGAACTGGAAAAACAACTTATGCAAAGAAACAAAGAACTGGATGTGATTCGGGTAAGTGCGGTGGGAACGCTCTGGCTGGGTGCCACGCTTCAGGGTAGCGATCTCCTGGGCGCTTTGCCTTTGGGAGGTAACGACTCTTTTAACGGCCCAAGTGACTTCTGTTAGCTTCCTAATTTTGAACCTAGGACAGATTTCAAGTAGAATTACTCGTGTGTGCACTCAAACTCTTCGGACGTGCCAGCAGATCAGTGAATGAGGCGGGTACGTCTTATCACTCCGGTCTGTAGCACCTGTGTTTGGGGTTTTGCACGTATGGTTGGCTGTGGACGGGCGTTGGAGGTGGACCTGGAGTCTTTCAGACTTGGGCTGCACAGCGCAGGACAGGAGCAAGTGTCCTGTGTCTGTGCTGTCAAGCGCGGCCTGCTTCCTGTGCACAATCCAGACTTGTTACTTCTTGGTGTACAAACTTAGTAACAAAAATTATTAGTATAATATTAACTAACTTCAGCCTAAATGTCGTCCCAAAGTGTGGTGCTTCTAGGGTTCCTTCAGAGGGTCTGCCCTGGGTACTTGCAGGTACAATCTCCCCTCCAGATCAGGAGCTCTGTTCCTGCTTCCCCTTACGGGCCAACATCTGCTCATAGGTAGAGCAACCAGCAAGGCATCAGATACTCTCTGTTAAAGTCAAAATCGAGGTAGCATACCTATGCTTTATGTTTAAGACTAGCATAAAAAATGGGAGACATCATGAAAAAGTGATGATGAGAAATTCTGCACCCCCAGGTGTTGGTGCCCACAGGTGAGATTTCTCCCAGGACTCAGTACTGTGCGCAGCCTTGCTGCTAGCTTGGGGAAAACACAAAACGAGTTCTTCCTCACCAACAAAGACACATGGTTTGCATCAAAGCTCATTGTAAGATAGTGCCTGGTGCAGTGACTGTCCTGTGTCAGGCTGTTCTGTTTCTTGTATTGGTATTCTGCTTTGTGAGTACAAGTGCAAATTCCTTGTTTCTGCGGTATTCTCAGGAAATCTACAAAGATGCAAATACCCAAGTTCACACCTTGAGAAAAATGGTGAAAGAAAAAGAAGAAGCCATCCAGCGACAGTCAACGCTGGAGAAAAAAATCCATGAACTGGAGAAGCAGGGAACCATTAAGATCCAGAAGAAAGGTGATGGTGACATCTCTATCCTTCCTGTTGCTCTGGCCTCTGGGATGGTGCCGGCAGGGTCAGAGGCTGTGGCTGGCACATGTGTCGCACCAGTTGCTGGAGCTGCATCTTCAGTGCCATTGCCACCACCTCCACCACCATTACCCGCCTTAGCAGCAGCATCTGAGGCAGGTAAGAAGCATTTTGTCCCCAAGACAAAATGGCCGGGAGCTGGAGGTGCAGTTCGTTGTGCCGGCGACAGTCACAGCAGCCTTACGCTGACAAAACCACCTTCAATTGTAATGAGCCTGCAGGGTCACGGCACCTTGCAGCAGCCGAGGATGCTGAGGTCGCCCAGCTGTGTTTGCACTCTCGCTCTCTGGGTGGCTCCCATGTTTGTCTGATCCATTTCTGAGCCCTTCAGTTGATAGAAAAAAATAACTAGCTTCCTTTATGAGGGTGGTTTCCTCCTGTGTTAATGCACTGAAGTACTTCGGTGAAGGGTGCAGGAAATGCTAGGGCCAGTAAAGTGGTGGAGAGGAGATGTATAGTGGGGGACAAGGTGGATGTTGTGACTTTTTCTCCGCGTGCTTGTGATATTTCGATCAGTGTTCACAGTAATAACCTCGTTTTTCCTTCATTTCGTAGTGCAAAATGGTCCTGTGTCAGTGCCGATGCCGCCACCGC